GCAGTGGTAGCTTTGGTAGGGGGTGGCAGTATCATGCCAAGGAGCTGGACCAACCCAAAGTAAACTCCTTGGTTTGGCCTCTTCTAAAGTGTCTTACCTGCCTGCATCTTTATCACTAAAGAGATCATGTATGTACAATGCCAACCATCATGCTTTGTACCCAGTAGAAACACATGCTGTTACTCCTGATGGGGTCAAGATAGAGATGCCTGCCTGCTTAAGGAAGGAATATTCTATTCTGTCTGCCAAGAGAATGGACAATGGGCCCTGAGAGAATAGCATGGGATATGTGTAGCCTTGTGGTGAACGCCAGGTGAGCATCCTGAGTCAGAACTGTCACCTGAGATAAATCTGAAAGATCGTGACACGGAACCAGAGACGAGATAAAATTTGAAAGAAAATATGCAATGAGACCCAAAGACCGACTGAGCGATTACTTAAAAACTTGCGTGATCATCTGCAGAGGTTAAAACCCACCCCACCCCCTTGACTGTGCCTTTAAAAATGAAGAACACCCCCCCTAGACAAGGTCCTGCTCCTCCTCTCACACTTCACCTGGGGGACCTGGTTCCCAGGTATATCTTATCTATGCTTAAGGGTCCTTCTCCCCTCCAAAGGAGAATCTGCTTCGATTCTTTTGAAGTGGCCCTATGCTTAAATAAAACTGTGGCTTACAATTCTTTATTGCTGTATGAGTGCGGCTCAGCTCTGGCTCCTTACAAATCACACGGGTGGAGCTTGTTAGCTTCCCCACCGATGACCACCCAGAGCTGCACACCAGAACGCCCTTCCTTTCCGTCCCACTTTTAAAGGGTGGAATAGAAGACAAGCCAAAGAGAGGGAAGAGAGGCTGCAGGGAGGAGGTGGCTGGACAGCAGAAACAATAGCCGTTTTGCATGAAACCTTAATGCCTCCCCGTAAAGGAAAATTCCTCTCATGATGCCAGTTTGACACCTGTGTCCGGGACGCGTTCGACCTCCAGGGGTGATGTTAAAACAGGGGGGCAGGGTTCCCTTTGCACCAGAGCAGCACGTGGGCAGCCAGGCTCCATGTTCCAGAAGCTGCTGGCCCCTGAAGGGAACTGCTGGCTGTAAAGATTTGACAGTGTTTCTCTCTTTTGATTTAAAAAAAAAAAAAAAAAACCCAGCCAAAGAGCTTGCTTTTCAAAGGCAAGTAAAGTTGTATTTATAAACGACCTGCAGCTGTAACCCATGGGAGCAAGCTGGAAAGGCAGTCTGCAAGCCAGCAGACAAGGCCTCCCACTTACGGGGAACAATCCTTAGCACAAGAATATGAGCGCATTCCTCTTCCCTTGGGTTGTATGTTTCAGGAAGTGCTAGGGATCCTTCCCACAGGCTGTTCAACTTAAAGAGAACACAGCGGAAGTAACTCGGAATGTCTCGGAGAACAGTCGCTAACTGGAGAGGGAGTCTGACCTTGACCAGATGGATTGGGGCCAACAGCTGCAAAGTGTCGTGAAGAATACTGATGGTGCCCAGCTATCAAGTGGATAGTATCTGGGGTTTTAAGCCTTGTATTCAAACAAACAGCCATTTAAGTGAGCCGTCAACTAAGTCCACATGGAAGAAGCACACCAGCCTCTGAGATCCAAAAGATGACAATAACAAAATGCAAATAGGAGGAAGGAAAACGCATCAGATCTGAAATTGTCAACACTCGCAATCCGTAGAAGGCTATAGAGGACACTAGGAGCCCCAAATCCATCTGCAGAGTATCTTGTCAGATTAAGTCTCAGGAAGGTCCCCTCTTGTCATATAGGAAGGAACTCAAACAGCTTTACTATCAGACAGAGATTATTGTAAACTTGATTATGGTGGATCGAACTACAGTATAATGTGATACTCCATCAGCTGACCTCCCTCTTAAAACTCAACCGGAATTTGTTCTAGCTTAAATATGTGTTGCTTGTTCCAGGACAGAAATTTCTTCTCTGGTTTTAAAAATATTGCTGGTTGCCTTTTCTTTCCTACCCTTTATTTTTAACTTTATCTCATGTTTTCCTTTCTGTTTCATTTATTTTTTTTATTGTTTCCGTTAGGTTTCAAAGTTTATGAAGCACAGAAGGAACGGATGCAGAGAGACAACAATAATTGTTCATCAGGGATGAGGGCGGGGGTGTAGGGAATTGGGGAGCAAATGATGAATGCAGAGGCGGGGAGGGAAACCAGAAATGATGTGACAATATATGTACAACTCTTTTTAAAAGCGACAACTAAGGAAGTGTATGATATGTGAATTTTATATCAATAAAACTATGGGGGGGTGTAACCTCACAGATTGGGTAAGATGCTATAGTGTCCACTTGAATATAGTTGTTAATTCCCCATCCTGTTGTGCTCTACATATTGCACCAAGGTACCAACCACAATAATGTTTTAAAATCCTGCATCAAAACATCTCGGGATTTTGGAAAAAAATAAATATTTCCAAACTCTTAAAAATAAAAAAATTTCCTCATTGCCTTTGGAGACGTTATGCCTTTTACCTTCAATCTGCATGCAAGGCAAAAAACTGAAGAACATTATCATTGTTAGCCAACCTCAGAGTTAAAACACCATTTATTTACGCACTAATAACAATAGACATTACATGTAACCTTTCTCTTTGAAATGTAAACATGCACTCGACTAATCAGGGAAAACAGCAGCTTGGGTCAAGTGAACAAGGGTGTGGGGGATTTCCAGAAAGCTCGTTACCTTTGCAGAATGCTCCATGGTGACCACCACTTTGGTTTTGGGGCTGGACACTAAATCCATAGCACCGCCCATTCCCTTCACCATCTTCCCCTGCAAAACAGAACAAGAAATTAGGAAGGAACTCGGCATCTTTGACTTCTTCAGCATGCAGCAGAATACAATTAAATTACAAGCATGGAAGTGGGACCACAAGTAAGGAGTAAAGCTCACTGCCTTCCTTAGTACTTGAAGCATTACTAGCAGCAGGCTCTGACCTGTAACATTTTGTCATTCTATCATTCTATATTTGCAGCTGACGTTCAGATACATACATGGCTATTTACTAAGTGGTACTACGAACTTGCACAACCCGTTCCGTACTGGAAGAAGTAAGGCCGAGTGCTCCTTAGAGGCGAGGATGGCAACTTTGTCTTACATACACTGGACATACTGTCAGGAGAAAGCAGTCCCTGGAGGGCATCATGTTTGGTTAAGTGGGGGGACAGTGAAAAGTAGGCCCTTGAGCAGTTGGATGGCCACTGTGGCTCCCTCAAGGGGCTCAGACATAGAAATAAGTGTGAGGACGGCTCAGGACCAGGCAGTGTTCTGTTCTGTTGTGCACAGGGGCACTGTGGGTCTGAGCCAACTGGATGGCACCTAACAATGACAACAACAACAATGAACTTATTTCGGTGAGGATATAGCAGCAATAAGACCATCAGTGGCTAGGCTAAGTCATAATCACAAGACCCTTTCCAGAACTGTGACTCATTATCAGTCCAAAAATATTAGACTGAAATCTACATGCTCCTGGCATCCACTTCTCTCTTCTCCAAACACATAATCAGCACCACCAAATTTTCTATTCCAGACACTTTCTGCAGCACTCTCTGGGATTTCCTGCAGATTACAATGCCATCAAATAGTAGGCAGAGGCAACGAGTGGCATTTTCCTGGCAGCGACTCATGTGAAAGGTACGTCTGTCTTTCTGCCTCTTGGCATTTAGTTTGCTCTTAGAAAAACAAAGTTGGTAGGCAAAAGCAGAAACAAGAGTTCTGAATATTTGCGCCACTGCCATTCTATTTTTAATCCTTTTTCTATATCTTCATTCATTAAAAATCCACTAAGCACCTTCTACGTGCCATGCACTCTGAGTAATTCCTACTGTCTATTCTGCCTCCTGGTTACTAAGCTGTGGGAAAAGCAATCGCTTCCAGAATGGATGATATACATTCATAATCAAGAATACTGACGAGAAATGTCTCTGGCATTGAAAGCTCTGTCTAATTTTATTTACTTTTTTAATCCAAGTTGTCTTGCCATTCTGCTAGTAAAATCTTGCAGCGCTCTTGCTTCCTTCCCATTAATTTCATGTTATAAGAAAATAAGCACAGACACACACACCTGACACCAAATCACAGTCTAAGTCATAGACGTTGAGAGAGACCCATGTGGCACTGGGGCATAAGCATTGAGTTGTCAGCTATAATGTTCTAGGTTCAAATCCAGAAGCCACTCGTTAGGCAAAACACGAGTCTGCTTCCTCCCTAAAATATTTAGATTCTGGCAAATCCTATGAAGGCAGAATCCATTGGAAATGACAGTAAATTTGGTTTGGGTTATACAAATCACGGGCATGAATGCTAGGTATGAGGCAGAGGTAAAAATCGTCAGGTTATCTTTGTGGTGGGAGGCTGTCATCAATGAAAAGGAAGTGGCTGGGCAGTTGGAGGGGGCGGGAGATGGAGGGTACAAAGTGAATTTGATTTTAAACGCATGAAGTTTGAAGTAAGACAGAATATACATGTAGAAAGGTGTAATTTTATAATTCTGAGCAACACATTCAGCTTTGGTTACCTGCAAGTTTAATAAGGCAGGCAGTAGGTCACCATATCTGTATAAGGAATGCTGGCACTTTGATGATATGAAATATGCATAGGTCTCATATGGAAGCCATGACTGCCAAAGTTCCAATTGGCAGCCCCTAGGTGATGAACTTCTGACTTACACACAAAGGGTAGGAACAAACCAACTTCCCTCACTAACACCTCTGATATCAAAATGGCACCACTTTGATGTTCATCAAAACATAATTTTTATTAATTTTGTAGGACTGTGATAGAGAGACCCGTTTTTGTTTGTTTTGTTTTTAAGAATATTTTATTCCTTCTGATGGAAATGTACGTAGCCCTTTAGGTTCCCATTCAACAAATTCTACACAGTTTTCTCCCTGAGCCTGCTCACATTCTCCAGATCTAATATTTTCACTGTTTCGGTACTGGGGGTTCCCTCTCCATTCATCTGGTTTTTCCCTGCCCCTTAGACATTTTCAGGTTTGTTTTAAAGTACTTGTTGATGGTTTCATTTCATAAGTGATTTTTTTAAAAGATGTCTTAAACAAACAAACAAAAAACCACTGCCATCAGGCCAGTTCTGACACTTTGCAACTCTACATATGGTTTTCAAGATGGTCAATCTGTATGTGAGTGGACGACCTTTCTCTCACAGAGTAACTGGTGGGTTTGATCTGCCAACCTTACGATTAGCAGTCTATCACTTAGCCCATAGCTCCAGCAGTGCTCCCTAGAGACGTCTTAGTGTACCTTGAACCTCTGATGTTTCCAGGACAAACATGACTAAAGGATGTTACATACGAACCATACCTAATGGTTCTGACCTAGGTACACATTCAATTTCAGAACAGATGGAGGAAAGGGACCCCGCTGTAATCCTAGGACAGCGGCACTAGGCATGTTTGACAGTTTCAGAGCATTGAAAGCCACTGAAGCATCCCCACAAGTATCAAAGTCCTGAAAGTCCGGGAAAAAGCGAAGGACAGTCTGAATTGGAGGGTGCAACTGTGAACTCGAACCTGGTGGTGGAAAGAACTGGGGCAGTTGGTGAGACTGGAATGAAGACCAAAGATTCAAGTGCATCTTGTGCCCTACCAGCACTACTGTCTGTGCTTTGTCCCTGTTTTAACAACTGGATTGTTGTTCAAGAGAAAGTGTGCTTGCTGTGGGGATAAACACACAACCATGTTTAGGGGTAATGAAGCATCGGCCTGGCAATTTCTTCATATATATATATATATATATAGAGAGAGAGAGAGAGAGAGGATGGAGGCAAACTGGTAAAAAGTTCACATTTGGGTGAAGGTGAGTGAAATTGGTAAAATGTTAACACTTGACGAATATGAGTAGACGAGAAATCGTAGTTCTGGTTTAGTTTATTTTTTGTTTAGTTTTACTGACATATAATTCACATATCCTACAAATCAATAGTTCAATAAGATCCAAAAGAGTTGTGTAATTACCACCACAATCAATTCTCGAACACCTTCTTTTTCGTACTGTTGTTAGTAGCTCCCCCTTTTACCCAATCTCTCCTGTCATAGCCCTAAGAAATTATTCCTCTACTTACTGTCTCTATAGGTTTACCTATCCTGGATTCCATATACAGAAAAACAACAACACCCCCCCAAAAAACAAACACATCAATTACAAAATAAAACTGAGAAATAACTCGATTGAAAAGAAAGGGTTTCAGATTTGTTGTTGTTCTCTAAATTTTAAATAATTGCAAATGAAAATGTTTTTTAAAAAAATATTTTTTAAAAAGGGCTCTGAAACAACTCTATCATAAGATGTCTCCACCTGCTGAAGTCAGCTGGGCCGGCTTCCACACTACATCCCAAGGCAGACTTGCCGAGGGTGCTAAGTGCTAATGGAACCAGGGAAAACCAAACACCATGCAAGCATATGAAAACTGAACAAAACAAAGTTCCTTGAATTAAAAACGTTTTTCCTTAATTAGAATATAGCAGGGACAAATGTTGTCTCTGGTGACATAATGATTTCAGAGGTAAACACTGATGACAGCCTCAAACAGGAAGTTTGCCTGATGTCCCTGAATCTGATTTACATTTAAGCCACTGTCAATTAGTTAAACAGAGCACCTGCTGGGCAGAAAGCAGCGTGTTGGCGCGCAAAGGAGGAGCTACAAAACACAGTGGAAGACCCATCTCTTAGAACGCATATTCTCGCTTGACTCATATAAGCGAATAGCTTTCTTCACTCAGAGAGATTAGACTGGGTTCATGCTTTACTTCTAATGCCCGTGCTACAAATATGATAGCTAAAATCAAATATGTTTAAGAGTAACAATGCACTAGATTAGATGCAGAATATCTGAGAACTATTGTTTTAACTCACTTTGTGAGGTTGGCAAAACACTAACCCTCTCTGGTTTAGATTTATTATGTCAGGAGAGAGCGGTCCCTGGAGAAGGGCACATGCTTGTAAAGCAGAGGGGCAGCGAGCAAAAATACAGAAGATTTTGGAAACCAGATAAGGTACCATATTTCATATTTTAAATGAATCGAAAGTACAGTCAATCACCAAAGGAAGGCAATCAATTTTACCTTTACCAGCAGGATGGGTAACAATACAACAAAACCCAACAACAATGAGATTATACAGGGTGCTCCAAAAACCTCAAGGAAAAGATGGAACGAAGACAGCGTTGTTGTTTTTAATGTATTTCTATATATGAAGTCCAGGCTAGGTAACTCTATGGAGGCGGTCACTGGGTTACTGGGGTGTGGCATACCCTTGGGGTCTGGCAAGGGAGGCTGCGAGGAAATGGGTGGATAATAGTGATGAGTACTAGAAGGAAGAAAATGCTCTAAAACAGATTGTAGTGCTGACTGTACAACTCTTCTTGATGGGAACTATCGAATTGTATGATATGTGAATTATATGCCAATAAATCTATTTTTTTAAAAATAACAAATTTCATAAACTTTCTGAAGCTCCTTCTCATATAAGATATACTCTTGTCAAACAAGTATGACATTGCCACTCAATCTAGTGTAGAAGGCATTCTTTTGGGACCCCACTATGTGCACTTCCCAGCATTCCCTAGGAGTTAGGTGGCTATGTTCCTGCATTCTCGACAATGGGAGAGGGGAGGTGGAGTGGGAGAGTCTCTGCAACTTCCAGGCTCTAACACTGAACAACCTGCTGTATGTGACCAGGGGTGCTCTCTCCTCCTGGGACAATGACACCCAGCTTGCCCTTGAAATACAGCTGAGCTTCTGCGAGCCTGG